GTCAAGCTGCTCTAAATGCTTTAAAGTCGGTGACATGTACATCAAAACTTGTCTGGGAGTGTGTTCAATCACTTCAAAAATTGTCTTGTCATAATCAAGTCAACTTATATTGGGTTCCTGGTCATTGCGGGATTGAGGGAAATGAAAGAGCTGATGCACTAGCAAGACTAGGATCTTCTCATAAGTTCATCGGGCCAGAGCCCTTTTGTGGCTTATCGGATGCATCTCTTAGAATGGAGCTAAAAGCGTGGGAATCTTCAAAAGTGGAGGAAAACTGGAAGAACACTTCCATTGCTAGGCAGTCGAAGCGATTTATTAATCCAAACATTTCTGTGACCCACAAAATCCTGGAACTTTCTAAGAAAGGTCTTAGTATATATGCAGGTCTTATAACAGGTCATTGTCCGAGCCGTTATCACTTGAAGCTGATTGGAAAACTTCAAGATGATGTATGTCGCTTCTGTGGCATAGAAAAGGAAGACTCGGAACATTTGCTATGCCACTGTCCGGCAATTTTCAATAAAAGGCGTAAGTTCTTCGACAAGGGGCTGATAGAACCCTTTGACATTTGGAGAACAACTCCCAGTACGGCAGTGCACTTTATTCGAAGTATAATGCCGTGCTGGATCATGCTATTAGTCAAACGATGGCGATCACTCCTAATAATAGTGATACGGCATCTTGATATAGCTAAAGAAAAAATGGGGAATATATCACAATAGATCAGAAAAATGGTCGCAGTGATGAAAATACCCGACAAGGAATAAAAAAAAAGATCAAAATATCAAATGAAAGGTAATTATAAAATACTTTTTTTGAAAAAAAATATAATAATATTAAAAAAAATGATTTTTTTTTATATCAGCGGTGCATTTTTGTTTTGTTTTGAGTTATAATTTTTTTGAAATTATCAAGTTTTGGGTTTTCGCTCAATACTCTCATGCGACTAAACTACCATGCGTCTTCATTGATTTAAAACTTTTATTTATATACTATTTTTTATCACCTTAACATGGAGATGGTCACTCTCTTGACAAAATATAAAAACAAATCTGTTCTAATATTTTGCGATAAGGAACAAAACTCCCAATTTTCACGAAATTCTGATAATCACTATATCGTGTTGCTATGGACACCCTATGGATATATTTAAAAACATTCTGTATTTACACCAAAAATTGTGATTTTTTAAAAAGTATGCAATTCGATTATCTATGGCTTGAAACGGATAATACTATTCGAATTGGTTGTACACGCAGGTCTTTCTTACACGGGGGATCTGGAGAGTGTAAAAAAACGTGTCAAGACAACCTACGAAGATTTTGATTCTTCACATGCTAAAATATTAAAAAAAATAGATTTTAATGCCAACCGCAATTATAGCATGCTAGGGCCCATGTCTTACCCAACCAATCAGACTAAGGCCTTGTTGTCCTCTGCTGTCCGAAGAAGTCGTCTCCACTCTACTCGATCGATGGCCACACTTCGCCAACCTTATAGGCTGCGCGCCTCTTCTTCTTGTTCCTGTTGGGTTGCTTTCGAGAACCATTTTCACTGGGTTGACGTGCGTCATTCTTACGCCATGTGGATGGATGATTCTCCCAGCAGCTGGTGCAATTCGTGGCTCATTCTCCTCCTCTGCGTTCCGTCATCCATCTGCACTCCACCGTAGATGGAACGCAACACCTTCCGTTCGAAAACACCAAGGGCGCGTTGGTCCTCCATGTGCATAGTCCAGGACTCGTGGCCGTAGTGGACCACCGGTCTAATCAGCGTCTTGTAGACAGTCAACTTCGTGCGACGGCGAATTTTATTCGACCGGAGCGTCCTCCGGAGTCCAAAGTAAGCACGATTCCCTGCCATAATGCGTTTTTGAATTTCTCTGCTGGTATCATTTTCGGCGGTCACCAGTGAGCCCGAAATACACGAACTCATCGACCACCTCGATTTCGTCACCGTCAATCTGAACTCGGAGTCTTCCCTGGAACCTCTTCCTTTCATGTATTTTGTGTTCGATGCGTTGATGGCAAGTCCAATCCGCCTAGCTTCAGCTTTCAGTCTGATGTACGTTTCCGCCATCGTCTCAAAGTTCCGTGCCATGATGTCGATGTCAACGGCGAAGCCAAGAAGCTTCCTGAAGATCGTGCCACTCGTGTCTATCCCAGCTCTTCTGATCACACCTTCTAACGCGATGTTGTATAGCAGACACGAAAGTCCATCACTTTGCCGTAACTCCCTTCGAGATTCAAAGGGACTCGACAGTGTCCCCGATACTCGAACAACGCACATCACTCGATCCATCGTCGCCTTGACCAATCGCGTCAGTTCATCCGGAAATCCGTACTCATGCATAATCTGCCATAGCTTATCTCGATTGTGTCGTATGCGGATTTGAAATCGATGAACAAATGATGTTTGGGCACGTTGAATTCGCGGCATTTCTGCAGAACCTGCCGATTCACGAATGGTGACAGGCGGTGGCATAGAATTTTTGACCTTGTGCGCTCAGTAGTCGTATTTTTGTAGATTGAGCATACGACACCTTCAATCCACTCCTCCGGTAATATCTCCTCCTTCCAAATCTTGGCAAATACCCAGTGCTTTACCATCGTATTTTAATTGCTCACTTGGTAGTTGATCTACACCAGTTTCTTTGTTGTTCTTCAGCCGACCGATCTCCTTTTCAACTTCTTGAAGATCAGGGGCCGGTAGCCTGTTGTCTTCTGCGCGTGCTCCAAGGTCTGTTGCCGTGCCACCTTCGTTTTCTGCTGCATCACCGTTGAGGTGCTCGTCATAGTACTGCTTCCACCTCTCGATCACTTGATGTATCGCTCCACATTCAATCTCGTGCGGTGCTGCATTCTTCTCCTCTACTAACAGTTTGCATTCGCCGTCAAACTAGTCATTTCTTCGGTCCGGGATCGCTGTACCTAGTGCCGCTGCAGCACTACTACTTATGGCGGAACGGATGTCCCTCCAGCCATCTTCAAGAGAAGCTGCGCCAAGCTGCTTTTCCGTGGGTAGTGCAACTTCCAGCTGCTGCGCGTTGTCCTGGGCAACTCCGGCGTCCCGTAATTGCTCAATGGTCGGTCGCGGCGCGTTCGACTTCGACGGGTGTTATGCACCGTCGAGAGTTTTGAGCTCATGCATACTGCAACTAGGTAGTGGTCCGAATCTATGTTTGCACTGCGGTACGTGCGGACGTTGATAATGTCGGAGAAGAATTTCCCGTCGATTAGAACGTGATCGATTTGATTTTCTGTGTGTTGGTCAGGTGATCTCCAGGTGGCTTCGTGGATATCCTTGCGGGGGAAAAAGGTTCTTCGAACTACCGTACCCCGAGAGGCTGCAAAGTTCACGCATCGTTGAGCGTTGTCGTTCGATACGGCATGCAGGCTTGTCGCCGCTGACGATTTTGACGTCCCGTTGCGTCGTACACCTGCTCCAGCTACGCATAGAACGCTTCTTTCTCGTCGTCGGGTCTCCCTTCGTGTGGGCAGTGCACGTTGGTGATGCTGTAGTTGAAGAAACTGTCCTTAATCCTCAACTTGCACATCCTCGTGTTGATCGGTTGCCAACCAATCACGCGGTGGCGCATCTTACCCAGCACTACAAAGCCGGTTCCCAGCTCGTTGGTGGTGTCACAGCTCTGGTAGAAAGTAGCCGCTCGATGCCCGCTTTTCCATACCTTTTGCCCCGTCCAGCAAAGGTCCTGTAGTGCTACGACTTCGAAGTTGCGTGTTGAAGTTCGTCATAGAATAACCTATCGCAGCCTGGGAAGCCGAGCGATTTGCAGTCCTTATTTCGTCGCGTAGGTCCATATAGACATATTTAAAAAACAATCTGTATTTAGACCAAAAATTGTGATTTTTTTAAAGTATGCCATTCGATTACCTATGGCTTAAAACGGACAATGTGATTTGAATCAAGTCGATAGGTTGTATCGCTATCGAGAAATCGTTACAAACGTACCGTGTAAATTGCGACTTAGAAAATATTTTGGTGTATATACAATTTCGTTTGTAAATGATGCCTAAACCCAATCGAGAAATGTAAGATTCTCTTACAGTTCTGTATAAACAATTAACCGAATGTGTAAGGAATCACGACATGAACAGATTCTGTAATTTGGTTGCCGGAAGGCTTATCTAATTATTAAACAACTTCTGGGCAATTTTTTAAACTTTTTGTTTAAACATTTTTTTTTTAAACTTTGGATTTATCCACGTATTATTATTTTTTCAATGTCCGAAGTCAGGGTTTTTTAAGGTCATACGAACCTGTACCTGTACCGTTTTTTTTTTTTTAATATATCGAGACCCGACCAGACTGATTGATTGTTACTGTATCTAGTTAAGTTTCTGTCTGACAGAGTTTTCTTGGTGGTGTGCAATTTAGTTTGAAAAATTCTCACTAGATGGTACTAGCATGCCAAAAGAGCTTCCCGTACCATGTTATGTAGATCTCGTGAGCCCGAGCTGATAGATGTTTGCAGTCTTCGGAAGTGTTGTACAACTGGACTAGGTCTACCTAATGGTCGTCAGTTTAGGTTGGAATGTACAATTTGTGCGATAATCCAAATAGATAATGCTACATTACCCCGAATGTCTCTTCCCTGAACACCGTCACACCTCGAAGGTGAGAATAACGAGCAGCATCAAAAGAAAAGCTGAATCTCATTCGAGGAAATTGCATTTCAGGGTAACGGCATTTTGGGTAATGTAGCACAACCGCATCTTAAAAACTCCCGAATTGATATTGCTGATGCATAGGGACCCCAGTTTAAGCTTTTCGCAAATCATTCAAACTGTAATTCTCATCCCCAAGATTGTTTTTAAAAGACTGATTGCCAATCGACTGAAGTATACCAAACTAATGCATTACGCAGAGCGTTAAACATTTTCAACTCCGATTACAACCAACTCGGTTGCAAATACCATTACCTTTCATCTCACTCAACGATTCCATATCTCTTCTTCTCTGCCGTTATTTTCTTCCAGGGGCGGAGTTGCACTTTGCTTATCGCCACAAGGGCGCCGTAACGGCGAGGCATTAGTACGGTTCATTTCGCAGGAGCACCGTGACATGGCGCTAAAACGACACAAGCATCACATCGGCAACCGGTACATCGAGGTAAGTGACGGTTTCTTTTGCTGATGTGTGAAAATGTACTAAACCTGGTCATATTTTCCTTGCAGGTGTACCGGGCATCTGGGGAAGACTTCCTAGCCGTCGCCGGTGGGGCATCCAACGAGGCCCAGGCGTTCCTCTCCAAGGGCGCTCAGGTTATCATCCGCATGCGCGGACTGCCGTACGATTGTACCGCCAAGCAAGTGGTAGGTTCTCTCGGGTTCTCCTTCCTCCGTAACCTTTATAATAGCGGATCAATCCGGTTCTCTTCCCCTCAGCTGGAATTCTTCGCCAACGGCGACAATAGCTGCACCGTGCTGGACGGCTCCGATGGGATACTGTTTGTGAAGAAACCGGACGGCCGGGCCACCGGCGATGCGTTCGTGCTGTTTTCGCAAGAGACGGATGCCTCCAAGGCACTCTCCAAGCATCGGGAATCGATCGGGCAGCGATACATCGAACTGTTCCGGTCGACGACGGCCGAAGTTCAGCAGGTAAGGGAGGTGTTTGGTTGTTGAGTAACTTTTCGCTGTGTACTAAAATCGTTTTGTCTTAAATTGTTTTGTCGGCATTGTCAAAGAGGAATGGTAGCCGGTAAGGTTCTTAATCTGTTGCTGTCGTTTGAGAATGGTCATGGTTTCAGTTTTCTGATCTTGTTTTCTGTTTTGAAGGTACTGAACCGCTCGATGGACCCGAAAACGTACGAGCCGCCACAGCCGCCGCTGATTGCCGCCTTGCCGCCGGTGCAGATGCCGCTGCTTCCGCAGCACGTGATCACCAGTGGGACGGAAAAGAACTGCATCCGGTTGCGAGGGCTTCCGTACGAGGCCAAGGTGGAGCACATTCTACACTTCCTGGAGGACTTTGCCAAGCACATCGTCTATCAGGGAGTACATCTGGTTTACAATGCACAGGTAGGTGGCGCTTGCATGTTCGGCTTTTTCTCTGTAGTAGGGGGTCTAGCGTTTAGCAATCGGTCGATGGTAACACCCTTTTTATGGTTATGCGCAGGGTCAATTTAACGGGGAGGCGTTCATCCAGATGGATTCGGAGACGGCCGCATACCAGTCGGCTCAGCAGAAGCACCACAAAAACATGATGTTCGGTAAAAAGCAGCGCTATATCGAAGTGTTTCAGTGTTCCGGTGACGACATGAACATGGTTCTGAACGGTGGATTCCAGCAGCCGTCCAATATCTCCAAGCCACCACTGTTATCACCCGGTATGTTACCATCTGCACAACAGCCGCCATCACAAAACCCACAAACACTAGCGCTGTCTCAGCTCCCGTTGTCCGTCCCCCCTCCACTAACTCTGTCGATTCCACCTCCCACACCCCAAATGATAGCACAACAGCAAGCTCATTTTATAGCACAGCAAAGTCTGATGGCCCGCCAGGCAGCCGCAGCCGCCGCCTCCGCCCACCATCAGGAGCAATACCTGTACCAACACTTAGCCATGCATCCGGCTCATTCTACGGGTGCAAACTCTGCAGTCGTTTCGCAAGCCCCTCCCACTTACGCTACCGCAAACAGCGTTAGTCACCAATCCGGAAACTACCACATGAGCCACACGCACGCTCCGTCCCATTCAATGTCCAGCGTGAATCAGGCTGGTATACCGAGTCACTTCGCAGCGGCCGGTGTTCAAGGCGCTCAATATCCACAGTTTGTGTTCATGCCTCGGCACATGATGGGGCCCGGTGGTTTTCCGGCGTTTGGTTTCATGCCACCGGGCATGAACCAACTGCATTTTCCCGGGGCGGCCACCGCTGCCGGAGCAACCGGTGGCCTCGCTCAGACCCATCACGGATCACTTAGCCACTCTGCATCTGCCCAGCAGCAACATGCCGCCGCCATGACGGCCAATGCTGCGGCTGCTCAAGCCGCCGCCAATTCGATGCTCCCGGCCAGTATCAAACGCTCCTACGACAATGCCTTTCGTAACGACCAATCCCAGCTAGCGACGACTACCGGGTCGAAACGCCCCTTCCACGGCGGCAATCAGGCGGCCGCGGCTGCTGCGGCGACGGCGGCTCTCTATGCGCCCTACTACCATCCACACATATGAGAGACGCTTAGCTTTAGTTGTTAGCATATCCCTAATTTATCGCGTTGGCTATTTGAAGGTCTAAAGTTGAACTTTTAGTACACCTGTACTAAACATTATTACCAATTTATATTTTTATAGCGTTTTTGCCTTTTTTTTTAAATTATGAATTCCACTAGTTTGTAGTTATAATTGCGTAATACATAGACGTAGACAAAGAAACCAATCATTCCATCCACTGCAAACCAATGCAGCTATCGTTATTTAGAACACCAAGTTGAAACCCAAAAGACATTTAGAGCGTGGTTGTGATCGAACGCACCCATCAAAGAAGAGACTCTCTTTCTTCCAATCAATAGACGCTACTAAACGTACTTAATAGAGAAATGATTCATATACACCTTTTCACATATTTTGATGCATTCATGTTTATATATACATATAATTGAAGTCTTTATACACAAAACAAAAATCTACCTAGATAAGAGAAAAAGTTGTGCTTACAAAACAAATCCCTTCCCCGTTCCACCCCCCTTTTCCCGCCCCATTGTGTGTCCTGGTTCCCAGCTATAATAAAATCAAAATGGAAAAGTCTAATCAAACTACGAATTAACACCATCCCTGGGATGCAACGCAAACCCTACATGTGAAAAACACTCTCACACACACACTCTCTCGCCCCCCAAAATAAACAAAAATAAGGCTAAGGAATGTACCTCATAAAAATGGCTGCTGCTGTGTGTTTATGTAAAGGGGTTTGCTGGGGCTCATTCTACTTAAAACGAAACACTGGGGGTGTCGGGATTATATTATACCTACTATCGTTATTTACTGTAATATGTATCGTTGTAAGGCGCCAGAAGAGGGCAGAACAATACCGACTGTGGAGAAGGATTCATTGTGAATGAACTTTTGTGTGACAGGATCGGGAACAGCTCTTATCACTGATATTTTTGCAATGTTAGAATTAGTATTTTTTACTTTTAAATGCCTTGTTAGTGAATTCTAAAATCTAAGACTAAACCGCATAAGAATCATGTTGGAGTAATATTAACTGTTTTCCTTTTTTTTTGTTTATTGCAATGCAGTTTACTGCCAATTCCGATAGAGCATATATAACATTAACTAAAACAAAAATACATACATTCCACCTGAAACTGAGTAGTAAACCGGTTTTTGAGTACAACTAACACATTCCAATCGTAAGAGCAGCCACAGAAATACAAACGCACACCACGCATTCCTACGCATTGTGACTGTACTTTTACTAACACACCAAAATCGTTTCTCGCGGGCCTAAAGAAACCTAATTCATGGCACCTAACCACACTTTTTTTGTTTTTTTTTTTTTATTTTGGTTCCGAACGGCTCTAAACGTCACACCGATAAAAGTGTGGTTATGTACCGTGCTCCCGAATGTTGCCGTCGTATTGTACTCGTTTGTTAGATGCAACTTTTCTAAATCAAAAACCACATCCTTAATCCGAGGTGAGGCAGCTTTTGTATACTTTTCCCTTTCTAATAATCTACCGAAGACGACTGAAGGAAAACACATGCATAAAAATTCACTCTGTTATGGAAAAATGGACCAAATTAACTGTGTTTAATGTAAAGCTGGTGGAAAGGGCTTGATTGTGTCGGCTCCGGGTCCGGAAGCGGTAAAGCTGCGCGCAGAGATTGTGGATTGCTCAAAATTTTCGAATCGAACCGTACTAAAAACTGCCGCAGCTTTTACGTTTCGCCCGGCTTAAAGCAAGTGAAAAACTAGCAAAAGGCTAAACTGTACTTTTTTTTTTTTTTGCTAGGTTAAGATTTGTTAGTTATTATTTTTCTATTCTAAATGTTGTAAAGGCAGAACGGGAAATTCAGACGCAAGAAAATTTGGTTGATGGGCTTTTCGTCATTTGGATTTTAAGATTTGTTTGTTTGTTTACTATCATATTATCCTACATTTTTCTCACTTTCTTTCTCTGGCTCGCGGTTACCGGGAGAATTCGGTCATGAATATGCCTGTGTTGTGATGATCCAACTTTGTTTTATATTTTACTCAAATTGCACACATATTGGATATTGTTTACGCGGAATGGTTTTAAGGGACGCGTTTGTGAGTTGTTTCTTTTCCGATTAACTGGAAATTCTTCCGTTTGGATTTACGCCCTTTCTGTCTGTTCTGGAAATTTGCCGTTTCCAGAATAACGGTAGAGACCGGAGGAGAAGTAAATTTATGATATTGTTATGTCCATTAAAAAAAAACAGCATCCTTTTTACCCTCTTGCTCAGCTAAATAGTTTTCCATTTTTTTCAATTGTGTCCGTGTATAAGCGTATATGATGTACCAAGTAGATATAATACTTCCATTTATTTTATTTTTTCATATTTTAATTTAAGCGAAGAAACTTTAATACAATTAATATTATATAACAAAAAAAAAACATCCATAACGTGGTTGCAGTTTATTTACCATTCACTTTTCTATCCTTCTTTTGTGCATCACCATCACCGGTTAGGTTAGAATCTGTTTCTGTTGGGTGAAAATCTGCTATCGTGTTTCGGTTTGAGTCTAAACTGCCCTCAACTGTTGCCATCCCGCATCTTTCCGAGTGGGAATTCTAGTTACCAACAAGCCGCCCTATCCGACATCGGCCAGACAGCGGACAGGAGTTGTTCATTTTAACTATTTTTTCGCAAAATTGTGCAGAATGCGTCATTTTACCAGGAAAAAATACTGGTAAGCTCCATCTCGGATTAACTTTTGCAAAATGTTAGCTTAGAGTCGTGTTCATTAACTCTGATGTCGACATCAAAGCATTCGGACATAATTTATCGGGATTTAATCCGAAGTTAATACCGGTTCACAGTGGAACGAAATCAAAAATAGTGGGACATGGCTATTTGCGACGAAATTATTGAGTGTAGTATTTTGATGCCTTCTAGAATGTTTTTTCAATTTTTAAGTTGTTGAATTTAGTAGTGAACATGTTTGATTAAGGGGGGTATACACTAAGATAACTTTTTTATGTCTTGCTAAAATTGATGATCGTCTATGGAAACATTGTAGATGGAGTCATTTTGAGAAACTTTGTCCTAGACGCCAATTTTCCATCTCTCAAGTGGACGAAGTTATAGGGTGAAAATGGAGTACAAACGCTAGTACCCGAGCAAAGTCTGAGATCAAATTGAAATCTAAATTTGATGTTGTGATTTCGCTGATAGTGGTTACTCAGGTTGCTGTCGTTTTGGCCGTTTTAACGGTTAAATATCAAAATTGAGAGCAAATAAATCTTCCTGTGACTATTTCTGCTATTAGCGAACGCAAACTGAAAACTAAATTTGATATCAATTTTTCCTGTTGATAACAAAATAAGTATTCAATTTGATTTAAGACAATGAAAACAAACCCGCAACAACATATTTTTGAAGAGCAAATGTACAGCAAAATGAAAACAAAATTTGGCATCAAATTTGTCCATTGCGTAAACTGAAATCAAATTATGATTTCAGTTTGATGTTGATATCAAAACTTGATTTCAATTTGCTGTCATTTTGATGCTGGACTTTGCTCGAGTACCCCCTTAAAACCGTTTTTTACCATAACTTTTTGGTTTGAATTTTTAAATTTTTTCAATGATCCACAAAATTGTAAGTGCTTTAAAATTGCACATTTTTGCTCAGCGAAGCAAATCGCTATCTCTTCATGTAAAGGATTTACATTCGTATTTATAATTTTTCAACACTAACTTTAAAGTAATTTCGTTCAGCAACTTATACCCTACTGTTACATATACAATTCATAGGGGGATCCAAGGGCATGCCTAATGATTTTTCTAATAAAGTACCTCAATGTTTTGTTACGTTTTGCTGTTTTCATGACCATTTTTTCAAGTATGTACATTAGAGTGGGTTGTTGATTCGACAAAGTTGTTTGGTATAGTACTCTCAATCTAAATTCGAGGTTTGGTAAAATTTGAGCAATATTAGGATTTTTGGTAAGCAAATGAATAGGATCGTTCCGTTTCCCATGCAAAATTTAAAATTCGCCCGCAAATCGAGATTATAAAAAATTCGTTCAAATTTCGCCCAATTTTTAAGGTCCAGAATAAGCATTGAAAGAGCAGTCGGGAACCCACCCAAGTAACAATTTTGGTTTTATGAGGGTTCTGTAGACCATGATTT